TTCTGCCTAGACAACCACTCCCTGCTGTAGGACAGGCAAGTCCCAGTAGCTCTTCAAGTCAAGGCTTTCTTCATGATTCCTTCAACTATATCATGTGGTTACAAAGTGCTAAAAATATCACATAAGTATTTTCAGCAGAAAAAAAAAAACTGGTAAAAAATCAGAAATTAAACAAAAGGAGGGAAAAGAGATAGATGGGGAATGGGGATTAGGAGCTACATATGTAAATAAAGCTGTCATACAAAGCTTGCTCCTTTTCAAAGAAACAGGATGCAATGCCAGCTATATTTCCTCCTTGCTTCTGGACATCATTCACCCATGGCTTTTTGTTAAGAGCCGAGCCCATCATCTATTGGAGCTGGGAATTGCTATTGCTCTTTGACATGGCACCCAGTGGAAGAGGCCCCTGCTCTTTGACCAAGGCATTGTCATTCAAATTAATAAAATCTTGCGATGCTAAATTGCTGTTCCAAGACACTAGCACTCAGGGTCACATAAAAATGCATCAGCGTAGGGATGGAAAGCTTATAGTCTCAGTGGTAATAACCAGAGAATGAAACCATTTTTCCACTGAAATCTCCCTCCTCTCTTTAATTACAATTTCAGGTTGGTATCTTGCCTTTCATCAGGACAATCCTTTTCCTAAGCCACGAACATTTGGTTCCAGAGGGCACTTGGTACAAGTTAAACAGGATACTGGAAGAGGGGCCTTAACTATAATCCCTAACGTAGCAACAGAAATGACCAGAAAAAGCCATTCACCAGCTTTGATTTGCGATGCATATGGATGAGTTGGTAGCAAGAACAGGCTCTGCAATATGGAAACATACAATACACAGAAGGAAGGAAATATTTCAGATTATTAGAAACCGTTCCATGTAGAACTGGGCTGTGCAGCACCTCTGCTCTTTCATATTCCACATTGACTGCTTCTGTTTAGCATCTAAATGGCAGTATAAAATATTTATGTGGACATCTTACCTTTACAGGAAAACCACAGAGTATGGGGAGATCCATGAGCTCACAACAGAAGAGCAGTTTGTAGAAGGAATATACAGGGTTGAGTTTGACACCAGCTCTTACTGGAAAGGACTTGGCCTTTCCCCATTCCATGAATATGCTGATGTAAGTATTTGCAAATATACCCAATAACCTATCTGTCTATCTGCTGTGTAGTGGCATCAGCTGGAAAGAACAAATACAGTCCTTTAACACTGCTTTTATTGTTGCTGAAGGAATATAGGAATTTGGACACCCTCTTCATTTTATAGAAAATAAGATATGCTTGTCAGAGGGATTTCCCCCATATCAGTCACCTGAAAATCCCTGAATTCTAGTAAGACCTGTAACTGCAGGAGAAAACAATGCTTCTGATGTGCTGTTTTCTTTTGTTAAATGATGCTCAGTACTGAAATATGCAATAGAAAAAAAAAGGCATAAAAATGTAAAGAAACAACCATAGCAAGAAAGGAAAAGTACGCTGTTTCATCAATACCTAAATTTCATAAGCAGGCCAGCAAGATAAATGAGGTTTTGTTCCTCTCTTCACTCTCAGCCCAACAGCAATTTATTGTGTGCTCTACCCTATTTACTTAGCACTTCCACAAACTGTGTTTAAATACTTCAGGCTTAATCTGCCATTAAATCTACATTTCTTCAAACTAAGTGGTCTGGAATGACTATAGGTTTTGTTGTTGAACATTTTAAACCGCAACTGTATGAAGCTCTGTGGAAGACTAAAACAAATGACTGAGGCCCCAGGTCCATAAAACTCTGAGGTGCAGCTTGGGTCATGTAGGTCAAATAAACAATCCTAAGAAAAAAATTCCCTAACCGTCTGGATGTTTGAAAGTTGCTGGGGCCTACAGAAGGGCTTCATCTCAAGAGTTGCTTAAAAGCACCTGGTTGAGGCTGTTCCAGCTAGGCTGTTGAGGGTGCTTTTCTTTGACATAATAGCCTACAGGTCAGCAAATTAGCCTGGGAAGTGGGCAGAGTTCAATGACCGTCTGCGTGCAAGGTAACTGAAGTCTACAGTCCCCACGTCCCAGCAGCCTAGACTTTGACAGGACCACGATGTAGGAGGGAACTCGCTAGTCCTCTTGCAGAAAGTGCGTCGTGGTTCAGAAAATAGATCAAGTATTTGGCTCAAGAGAGCCAAAGAAAGTGGGGGCTTAACCCAGGTGGGCAATGCTTTTCCTGGGAACCAAGTGTCCCAAGTCCCAGGGACTGATGTAGAGAGCAGCAAATTTGAATTATCTTAAGACAAAGGTCTCCCTGTTTTGGCAAGTCTAGCCCCTCAGTTCTTAATGCAAGAACTGACCCATCACCAGCTGTGTTAAAAACAGGTGAGGCACTGAAGTAAAGAAAGCAGCTTTGGGCTCCTGCTGCCTGCCTTGCTTGGACACCTCACACAGAGCTTGTACTTAAGCTCACTGGATGGGATTTCACCTCTCTGTCTGTCTTATCGGTCGTTTGAGATACCTCCCCCTCACCCTCCCATTCCACACCACAAACTAGCAATATGCATGCCTGACTCGGGTGCCAGGTATCGCCACAGAGCTTCACCAGAGCCGAGGCTCCCTGTGGACCTGGGTCCAAAGTTTCTCAGCCTTCAGCTAGCACCACAAAGTAGTGGGGAGCATTACCCTTCAGAAGGGTGAAAACATTGATTGCAGAGAACTGGCAAAGTAGTCTGCACAGGAAATGGAGTGTTCTTGCCAATTCTTAATAAGGTAGCTTTGAATGTACGTTTTTCATCGTGATCACAAGTTTTCTCTTTTCCAGGTGGTGTTCACTGCTAATGATTCCGGTCACCGCCACTATACCATTGCCGCTCTCCTCAGTCCATTCTCTTATTCGACCACTGCTGTTGTCAGTGATCCCCAGGAATAAACACGTACTGGCCTTACACAAATACCCTCCTCTGCTAGAACTATCGTAGGCTTTCAGGAGGAAGGTGTTTCCTACTGATAATGCATAACGTTTTGCTACATTAGGGTTTTTTCCAGTTTGTAACCTGGCAAACTTCAGACAAGTCAATAAAGTGTTACTTCTTTAAAAGCGTTTTGCTTCGATTGGCGAAGTTTTATTGTGTTCTAGGGTGTCATGCTGTTCAAGTGTAAAGGACATCTGGAAGCCACGCATTGCCTCAAAATACGAAAGTTGTAGAGTTGTGCTACCTTAAAGAATTTGACCGAACACATGTACAAGAAATACATGTGTTCAAAACAAGAACGTCATCCATGCTACTCATAGTTTACACAGAAGAGATGGTCCCACGATCAACTACATCACAGGGTAAATAGGAGAAATTCTAAATACATAGCAGCAGAACAAACAAGGCAGAAAAATTGTTGAAATATATATATCCAGAGAGCTGAAAGAGTTAACATCTGTGTACCTTTTCTTAAAACTTCAGATACACCTCAACACCTGGTGGTTTCAAGAGGAAATTTGCTGTTCCATCAGCCTTGGAAGTTCTGAAGCCATTTCAATTAGCACTGTTTTTAACAACTTTGATCTTTAACCCAGTTGGCTACCATATTCAGGTGCATTCCAGTTAAATCTCCAGTACGTCAAATCTCCAGCCATTACTAAAAAAAGTCCTAAAATAGAAGCATCGACTTCGTAGTCTCTTCATACTTTTAGAAACAGTAAGAGGTAAGCTGTAGAGTGACAGTGACTCAAATAATGTGGTTGATAAACTGACCAAAGAGTTTGAGGGTGTTAGCAGTGATTTCTGTAGGCTGTGGCCTATTATATTTAAGATGTCCTGAAGCAGAGGAATTGTTGTTTAATGGGATTTACAGAAGCTACAGAGATTGTTATTGAAATCATGCCATTCAGAAACCACCAGCACTCATCTGCCACCGACCTTGGAGTTTTATCTCTACACCCAGCACCTGCTGGGATGATTGCACACCAAGTGAATTCACAAGTTAGAAAAGCTTGCCTTTAACGTGCCACTATTTGGTTACTTTTCTCCCCAATTTCTGGACACTACCACAGTTACACAACTCTTGTAAGCAGTGCAAATACTTTCAACCAGCACCCACCTTAAAGCATGCAGATTTCATGGGATCTTGCTATTCCTAGAGCTTGAAAACCAGTAGATTTGATTTGCAGTGGGCTATGCCCAGCCCTCGAAATAGCACATCAATGTGTTCGTACAAGTGTAGTACACTTAAAAAAAAAAACAACCATAGCAAAAACTGCTTATAGTCATCTATCTACCTGGGGACAGGATAAATCTAGTAAGGGAGTGTACACACATGTGCCTAACCAAAGAACAGAAAGACAAAGTTTCATTTCAAGAAGTAACATCTCCCTAAAATGAAGAACACTCCTGGTGGGGGCTGTACAGGGAGGGTCCTGAGCTTGTACAGAACCTGAGGCACAAGTGGCGTGACAGAACTTAAAACACTGTTTAACTGTGGTCCAGAAATGGGTATGTAGGTATGTGGTTATCATGCTGGAAACTAAAAGTAACATGTTTTTCCTGCAGGGCAATGCATAAGATAACTAGACAGCCCACACATTATCCACTTACCTTTTAGCACAGGTGGGGAAAGGGCCACCAGAGAGAAATCTCTTGATAGCTAAACACAAGTGAGTGAGTTATGCCAAGCCATAACCACAGATAAATTCTCACTGAGACTGACATTGCTGAGTTGACAAGAAATTTGTATTTCTCTCAGCTATACAAGATCTATACAGCACTATTCCTCAACAAAAAGAGAAAAATAAAACAGAATAGACATTGTTTCCAAGAAAATAGAGCGCTGCAGTTGAGCTAGGCAATATTCACGGTATTTCCACAGGCAATCATAAAAGAGACTTATTTTTGCAGACAAGGTTCATGTTTGTATGGGTTACTTATTTTCTCATTGTTTACTAAGCAAATAGTATGATTCAGCACGTTGAAAGTCATACAGGTTTTCTGATAAGTGGCCTCAGTTTAGAGGCCTCGATATAAAAATCATAGATCCCACCAGTTTCCACTTGCCGACACTGAGACTTCCTAGTGATAGGCAAAATGGCTTTTTGTTCTGTATTTCTTGTTTTCTTAGCTGGCCTGGCATTTTTCTCCGAAGCTGCTCCACCGGTAAGTGTCTCTGGATTGAGGTCCTTCATACTGATGTAGTCCCAGCTGGTTTTTCTTTGTTTTTAATACTGTAGTTAGTGTAAGTGAAAAATAGGATGTTCCATTTGTTTGCAGTTGTTTTGTTTTTATGGTATGCTTTGACTGCAGTGCTCTCCTACTGCTCTTTTTCTGGTCCTTTTTTCTCCTTTTATAGTGTTTCGTGAGAAGGCTTTATGGTTAGAGAAGCAGCACTTGTTGTTAGACTCAGCGACTACGTGAGAAACAATTTAAGAGAAGAACGGACAAAAAAGTCATATTCACTACACAAAAGCCTCGGGCCTTTGAAAAGCCACGGGTAGCCCTTATAACACAATGAACAAGCTCCAGTCATGAGGGATTTCGTTTCCTGTTGTGAGACCCATGCTGGAGAAATGCCTGCTGTAGTCCTCTCCCTTACTGCTCTACCCACTACAGCTCTGTCCCGTGCAAGCAAGCAGGGATCTCACCACTCATTGGTGCAAGCACAGAACAGAGCCAAAGCCAAGATCCCACTTCCAGAGGGCTCATTTTTTCCAGCAAAGCAAGCGAGAGACACTGACACTTCAGCCTGAAATTCTCCTAGAACAGAATTCTCTCTCTCTCTCTCTGCCCTCTACTCATTCTTCCTCTCAAGCTCTGACCTTTGGGAAAATGAGCACCTGACCAAGGTTTGTGAGCAAGTAGGCTTTCGTTGAGCTCTCAGGGTGTAAAAGCCAGGAAACGAGGTGGTGGCACAGGAGCCCCCCTTGCCAAAGCCTCAGAAGAAACACTGGCGAGGAGCTTGTGCATTCCAGAAAGGCAGCCCGAGTCGTCAGGGCATACAGGCGGTATAGATACATGCTGATGCATTGGTCTGACACAGGGCAGGGTTCCTGACCGATGGGGTGCTCAGTATGTCACAGACTGCAAGAGGGGAATGTAAGAGAGGGTTCTTACTTTTGAACGTCTACATCTCGATTGATTTGGCCATGATTAAATGGAGATCAGTGATTGCTGTTTTGAGATCATCCCCGATTAGCACCTTCCACAAAGCTCTGTTGTCTCACCTTTCATCTACAGAATTAGGTAATGGAAGGTCAAAGCCCTCACTCAACCCTGCCTTTGAATAGGTAAAACATCAGGGCATAACCATTGCTTGTGATGAATGTGTTGGGAGTGAAACTACAGCCATTCTATCTTTGAAGGATGGTTTTCCTCTCCTACCCCTGCAGAGCTGCCAGGGGCTGCCAAATCTGATCCAACACGGTGTTAGGAGAGAGTCCCTATGTGGGGCTTATCAAGTTTACAGCAGAATTAAGAGAAATCTATGGCAACAAGACATCAGAGGCTCTCAAAGCCAGAAAGCTGTGCTCAACTTGCCACTCCAATATACAGAGGAAGAGTTGCCAGATTTTCAAACATTCCAACCACCTTTCATGATTTAATTGGTTCCTGTTGAGGTCACAATTTAGTTATAACTTCAGGCTGGAGATGATGTGTAGCTAAGCCATGACAGAGAGAAAACTGAAACGTGCTCTCACACACAGCCGCAGTGCGTCCCCAGCGCACATGGCTACAACTCCCCCCGACAGCTCCCGACATCTTCCTTCCCGGTGCCACCATACCCAGCCCCCAGGAACCTTCAGGCTACATTTCTGCAGTACACAGTGATCTTGTTGAGGAAAATCAGGTATATTCTGTAGGTCTAAAGAATAATATTCCTTACTGCTTTATTATGCACCATCGCTTACCTCCCTTACAACAAAAAAATTCTCTCTTCCTACCTGAAGGACTCTACTGACTCCAAACATCCTCTTCATGTAAAAATTCTGGATTCAGTCCGAGGAAGCCCAGCTCCAAATGTTCCAGTTAAGGTATATAAAGAAGCTGCGGATGGATCTTGGGAACTGTTAAATTCAAAGTAAGTCATACCAAAATAATGAGTGGAAGAAGGGAAAGGCAATGGGAAGAGGCCACACAGTTGAAAAACCAGTTGCACGTGCTCTAACGTAAGATACCTTTTTTACGCAGAGGAAAGATAACATACTACTGAATGAATTACATTTTATTTGCTGCCGATGGTCCTTTAACTGTACGACAGTTTCAGCTACCAAAATGGTTTTATAATGCTTTATAATTACTGTGAGCACAAGAAAGTATTTTGAACTACCTTCTAATTCAATCATCGCTTCTCTTCAATTTCATTACAAAGGATTACCTTACTTTGCAGTAGCCAGCAATGAACTGCCGCATTGTTACCAGAAGCAGCAGGCAGACTCTTTCAGTTCCTTTGAAAGTAAGACTCTGGTTGAGAATCCTACCTTTATTGGCTATTTCCCTTCTTTCCAAATGGATTTTCACTTCATACAACACCACAGTTTTAAAAAGAAAATGCAGACCTGTTCTGAACATATGCCACACCATATTTGAGAGCCGCCTTCGCTTCAAGAAAAAGGCGCCAGCCAGAAGGAGAAAATCTGGGGACAAAGCTTTCTCACCTCCTCCCCCACAGAGAAGCAATTAACATCTAAAATAAGAAAAAGAATCTCCCAGATATTTAAATGCTGCCATATCTTTTAAAAGACAATTGTGTAATTTCAAACGTAGATGACCTTTTTTTAGTTCCCCTCAATTTTAATATATATATTAACACTTTGAAAACCCAACAGCAATTTTTCCTTAAAGTATAACATGATATGAAATTGAAAAACTTCTTAGGGTATATGCAGAATGAACATTCTTTATTCAACACGCAACATCCCACTTCTTTCCCCAAGATATTTGCAAGGTCCCACCCAAGACCTTCGGGGGGGGGGGGGTGGGTGGGAAGGAGGGTCAGAACAATCTATTCATATTGTCCTACTTAAATTGCCTAATTGCCTCCCACCCCTCAGGTGAGAAGGTAGCTTCACACATATTCTGTCACTGGAAATGTGTGTGATTTTCCATTAAGAGGGTGTTCAGTCTACTCATCTTTAAATCTGAGCTCAGAGACTTTAAACAAAGATACTCGGCCAAACAGCTGGATGCTGACTGAAGCCTTGCAAACATAAGGCTTAACATCTGCAACAAAGAACAAAGTAACTCTAACCTGAGGTCATGGTCGAAAGTTGTGAGAATGCTAAATCAACCTCTCCAGCCTTGTTAGGTTGTAAATAATTGAGTGTTAGCAAGGGAGTCAGAAATAACTGTTCTCGGATAAAGATATGTTAGGATTTAGCTGAGAAAGCTTATTAGAGAAATGAACAGCTATCTAACAATGAGCAATCAGTGACAAAAAAAAAACATGGAGACATTTGAACAGATCAAAAAAATCTGAGTAACTGACTACACAGCATCTTGTAAGATACAAGTGGTCTATGACTTCAGAATTATAAGCTATATTGAAGCACAAAATCTAAGTGGAGCACTGGACAACGACATAAAAACCATTCAATTCTCCATTTTTCTCTGCATGCAATTTGAGTAAACTATGTGCAAAAAAAGATTTGGCAGGTAGAACACAAAACAGTGGTTTGTTACTACTAAAATCACTCACTAGCAGCATTGTTATTTGTGGATAACCTACACAATCGAAAACCAAGTATTGTGTAACTTATTTTGCAGAAGCAGGTTTCAACCAAGAGACGTGTTTGAGAAAGAGCATTCAATATTGGTGCTGGAGCCCCAAATTGGTTGGTCTTCAAAGGTCTATAATTTTGAGCCAGTACTATGGCCTTGGATAGCACTGATAGCACCTTCAAACCAAACAAAACCATCTGTTTGTTGAGGATGGAAAACCAGCTGATCAATACAGACAACAGGGAATCCCACAAGGCTGCACTGTTGGCTGACCTACAGTCATTTCAAACAGCAGATGTCAAATTTCAGATAGCCAACTGTAAAAAATATTCATGATGCTAAAACAACTCAGTGTACTTAAGTAAGTAAGAAAACTATGGAAAAATCAAGAGTTGACCCTACTTACTTGCACAGTAAGTGCACCATGGAGCTTCCACATCGCTTACGGCACTGGTGAAGTTTTCCCTGAGTGGGTCCATTTAATTAATGCCAAGACTCTGCCAAGAGTCCATGAACAATTATGCCAGCTTTTGGCTCACAACCAAATCATGCAGAGTGGCGACATGGCTGGCAGCCATCTGCTGTGGCGATCACAGAAGCAGCAAATGCTAAGATAAGCTCTGAAGCATCCATAACACAGGTGGACGTAAGCCATTCCGCATCAATAGAAGTATTCATTGTATTACTTACGCTACACAACATCACTCCAGTTCCATTGCTGAGCACTGCATTTTTCTCAGGCTTTTAACCAAAATATAAAAGTGCATTCTTCTGCCATCACACAGACAAACCAATGACAACGGAGAGCTCCACGAGCTCACAACTAAAGAACAGTTTGTAACAGGGATATACAAAATTGAGCTTGATACAGCCTCTTACTGGAAGAGACTGGGCCTGAATCCCTTCCATCACCATGCTGATGTGAGTATCCTTTTTCTCCTCTACTTCAGCTGCAAAGAATAAAGATACTTCATATCATTATGCTTCAGTTACTAATTGCACATATTGAACTTTGAGAAATCAAAGGACAGGACATGAGCTGATGGGGAGATGTCAAAAGGGCTGCTGTAAATAATTCATACGTAAGGTCGTTAGCACATTGTAGACTAATGCAGTCCTTCCCAATCTACTACATATACAAGTAGGATTAAAGAAACTCATTGCGTCATAGTTTGGCCTGATGGTAGTTACTGTAGCACTATGTTTAATTCTGTTCCTCAAAGATCAGGACTTCTTAAGAGCAAGAAAAATATTCAAATACTTGAAAGAATGCCTTTTTTTTTTTTTTTTTTTAAGAAAGACAATCAGTGGGGTTCAATGTAGATCTTCAATAAGGAAAAAAAAAACCAAACCCTGTTGCCATTTATGAGTATCAACAAGGAAACCCCAGTTTGGAAAATAAAGATATTTGATACTATTTTAAATAATATAGGGGACGTGTATGCTTAACATACATGTCTTAACGTGTATCTTTAACAAAGGATATTTAACCAGTGGAAAAACTGTGTGTGATAGGCAGTCACAGATCACACTGGTCAAATCACCACAAGAGAAGGTATTTCCAAAGTTTTGTGGGAGGTTAGATAAAATTATCTCAGTGGTTCCATCTAGGCTAGTACCTAGAGATCACTTCTCATTTGTCTTGCATTTGTTTCTTTTTTTTCCAGGTGGTGTTCACAGCTAATGACGTTGGTTATCGACATTACTCCATTGCCGTTATCCTCAGTCCCTTTTCGTACTCAACTACAGCAGTAGTTAGTGAGCCAGTGGAATAGAAGCTGACATTAAGCATGAAAATTTCGATGTGTAAATTTAAATGTCCATAAATGATAAGAACTTTGTTTCTGATTGCATCAACATCTTTAGATTTCATAGTAAATAACCAACGGTAACAGTCAAGTTGCTTACTCACTTTGTTAACTTTAGGAGAAATGTGTATCGAATTTGTTTTCAAATACTCTTCTGAATAAAGGTATTCTGTATTTCTGTATTCTGTAAGTATCACTCTTCTGAAAAAAAAACACACTAAGCTTAGAAAAAAATGCATTGAAACTCCATGACTGGGATTCTGAGAATAAACCAAGGTCTTCCTTGAAGTTCATAAACTACATTCCTTCTTGCAAAGGAAGCAAACAAAACACATCTGAAAGACATTTCATGAAAAGCAAACACATAGGAAGCGCAACCCACCACCTGCCATCATCCATACTTCATTACTGATGCCTGCAACAGGTGAAGTCATATGGGACTACTGCGCAGGGCCCCACATAATCATAGGATAAAAATCAGAACTGGGAGGTGAGTTTAAGAATTTTTTAGAAACAAAAACAGCTTAAAAGTGACAGCAAGGTAGAATATCATTTAAGGATGCTAACAATGCCACACGTACTTAAAATACATTGGAAAGCAGGAAAGAAGGTAACTGGTGACACTTTCAAGGAAAGTCAATATCATAAGACTGGAAGGAACCTTTAAAGGTCATCTAGTCCACCCCCCTCCCCACGATGAGCAGGGACATCTTCAACTAGATCTGGTTGCTCAGAGCCCCGTCCAACCTGGCCTTGAATGTTTCCAGAGATGAGGCATATACCACCTGTCTGGGCAACCTGTGCCAGTGTTTCACCACCCTCGTTGTGAAAAATTTCTCCCTTATGTCTAGTCTAAATCTACACTCTTTTAGTTTAAAACCACTGCCCCTTGTCCTATCACAGTATAAAAACATTACCCCTTCTCCTACCACATTAGGCTCTGCTAAGAAAGATGGGAAAGACTTTTTATAGGCCCCCTTTAAGTACTGGAAGGCTGCAATAAGGTCTCCCTCAGAGCCTTCTCTTCTCCAGGCTGAACAACCCCAACTCTCTCAGCCTGTCCTCATAGTAGAGGTGTTCCATGATCCCTCTGATCATTTTTGTGGCCCTCCTCTGGCCAGGTGCACCTTCCTTTTGTTGTTACTTAAAGGAACTGAGCACTAGAAAAACGAACCCTTTGCCTATAAACAAAACACAAAGAAGATACATTCTCCACAGAACCTCAGAAGAAACAAACCAACACAATCTTTAGAACATTGTATTTCATAAAAGACAATGATAAAAAAGTACAAACATTTTCATGAACAACAAAAAACCAAAATTATGATAGTACACAGTAAATTCCCAGCATTTGTTTCAGTGCATTTTTCATTAAGCTTATCTTACATACCTCTACAAATAAAATAATCTTAAGTACACTTCCTCTTGATGATACAGAATGGATCCTTTAATATTTTTAAATAATTGGCTCATTAGTAACCCACTACAACATAGTCATTAGTAAACATAATGATAGAAAAATAGACTGGCAAGATCCAAGAAAAAGGACATTTTGCACTTGCTTTTCAATAGACTGTCTACTGCAGAATGGGTTTTATATTTTATATTCTCCTACTTAAAACTGAAATACAGCAAATGGGCTTAAGAATACCTTAGCACATCAACCAGATACCACTGTTAACATTTCCGTAATGTTTTTACTTATTAATTTTCAAGACCTTCAGAATCTTGTAAATTACTTCCTCTTTATTATCTCTCCATGGTCACACTTGAAGAGATGTCCTTAATTTGCCTTGTCAGCAATGCAAAAGCCAATGTGATTCGCTTCTCTCTACAGTTTAGAAGAATCATGAAAATATCAAAAGGAATGTGCACAATTCTTAGTTCTGCATCGCATTTATTTTGTCTGAAGGCACTGTCTATGTTGAAATTCACTACAGAATAGTACTGAGTTCAAGCAGGTAGTATTCAAACACTGCTTTGATGTGAGTTTAAGATGGCAATTTTTAAAACTTCCCAACAAAGTGATAAAAGGTATTTAGAGGAGTGTTGGTTAACAATTTACAGTTTAATATCCATTACTTTGGGGCACGAAAATGTAAACTTTTCAAGAACTCAGCCATATGTCATAATCCATTCACATACTCGTTTAAACCACATTTTTCTCAGATCATACATGATCACTTAGAGCTGTAAAGTCATGTAAGTTCAGCCACAGCATATGTGTAATATATGTATATATCTATATATATACATATAAATGGATTAGAATTTAAATTGCACATTAATTTCACAGACTGCCTAACAAATGGGCACAAAAGCATGCTTCAGAAAACAGTACAGACCTACAGTACCAAAGGATGTTTCATAATCATAGGTGTTCAGCTGTAGGTGAACCTGCCTTGAAAATCAGAAATCACTTCAAAATTACATCAGGGATTTAAAAAGTTATTCAACAGTTCTTAAAGAATTTTATTAGTCTGTTATGAAATAAGACTAATTTTATTTTGAAGGTATAATTGTTCATACAGTCTATTAAGTATCTCCCCTTTATCTATATGCTTCTGAATACACTCAGTTATAGAAAAACATATCAGGAAGTGATCGAACCACTTCAGCATGCTTTCGAAGGGTGTTCTGTTCACTTTATGCTCACTTTTCATTATTTTCATTGCATTGCATCATTCCTAAAGCAAATTAGATTAACTGGTAGATTTTAAGGTAATTCCAATATGGTTTAAAATATACCTGACAACTGTTCTCAACTATGTAAATTAAATCATTACATTTCTACTAAATATTAGCGATGCCTACAACTAAGCTCATATCTTTACTGAAGATTGGCTAAGGGCAAAATTTGCTGCTGGGACATCAAAGAAATAAAAGGAGTTTACAGCAAACAAGCTCAAATATACAAAGCGCCACACCATCTGTGGCAGCAATTCAGGAAACCAACACACAGTAATGAGCTGAAGTCAGTATTCTTTGTCAACACTCTTACAGAACACTCTATGGATAAACAATCCTTACTACATACTGCTCTCCATTCTTCATGGGAGCAGAAGTCAGTCTTTGGTTCCTAAAGAGCTGGGTAACTGCGACAAAAAAAACAGTTCAGTAGATCTTGGTCAGTATCTTTTCATTAACAAAGAAATGATCCGCTCCTTTTCCTTAGTATTAACAACGGATGTAAAAAAATATTAGGAAAAGATAATAATGCTTAGCAGTGGGATACTTTTAGGTAGCATAACATTACAAGCAAACAGAAAATAACAAGAAAGGTATTTCATTACAAAGCTAAGGAAAGAGGCTAGTTACTCATACATCTAACACCACAAAAATAAATAGACGGGACCAATCCTTAGTGGGACTGCGCAACCTCAATCTCATTGGAAGTCATCGACTTGAGGATACTTAGTGCATCACAGAAGCACTCAGCACTCTACCAGAATAGGCCCTTCAATAGCTATATTGATTAATGTATTACGAGTGGAATTTTAAAAAGCACTTGGGATTGGCCTGCTTTCAGTTCCGCTTATGCCATCATCATTGGAACAGTTTGACCAACACCATGGTTCTGAAAATCCCACACTGCCAACATTAGAACTATTAGAACTACGTTTTATTATTTTCCTTAAACCCTAACTTTAGTATTCTCCCAATGAAGACACATTTTTGGCTCTTCTGGTTTTGGAGGAATAAAAGTGCTGTTTACTAGGCTTTAAAAAAAAAAAAAAAAAAAGTATGCCAAAATACTGTATGCACCCAGACACATTGTTTTAGGCATTAAAATCCCTGACATTGACACTAGTGGCACACTTGGAAACAGTTAGAGTTCCTGTAGATCATAATACCCAACAACCGCAAGATTTTCCATAATACACATGCAATATGCATATAAAAAGTACTTAGATGGCAGGCAGGGCATCATACAATTTTGCTGGCAATAAATAAAATTAAAAGCTTTCTTTCTAGCAAGTTCATATACAAAATTGATTTTTCTACATAGATATGCAGGAGGCCTAGAGCTCAAAACTAGTATAACAGTTTACAGTCATAGCTGGCCAACAATTAATATTTCCTTCATTTCACATAAGGTATAACCTTTTTTTTAATGCATACTTACATTTTACACGTGTTCTTTCATGCTAATAAAAACATTTGTATAGAATTCAAATGAGAACACACTCAAACACATACTGAAGCGTAAAATATTGAGCAATTTAAAAGCAATGTACACACATTAATTTACATCACATATTTACAAAACACATTTTAAAAAGAAACAAAAGCATTCATTTAAATACAGGGGCGGTCTAGTATAAAAAAAATTCCTGGAAGAAGAGGCCTTTGTCCCTACTTCCAGAGAAGCTACTAGTCTGTTTTCTGCAGTTTATTTAGCTGAGTGGTTAAGATAGAGAATATGAAGAATGAAGGCTTGAACAGTAGTCTCATGCTGTAAACATCTGAGTGGTAGCTGCTGGCTTTTCTTTCTGAACAAAATGCATGATACATACAATCACTTCTCATCCCAAATATGCATCATCAAATGGTCAAGAATCTCTAATTCTAAGCTGCTGTTTGTTGGTTTTGTTTTACAGTGTCTATTAGTAGCTTCCAGTGTTAACAGTTTATTCTGGTAGGGCAGCTTGTCATTCTGCTTCCATCAATAGTCTCTAACAGGAGCAAGTTCTGGTACGAGATTAACAGTTATATTTTTATACAATCTACTGACAAGTATTTTAGGAGTATATATTAAATTGTTCAACCCATCAATATACTGACGTTCTCTGGAATACCTCAGAAGTTTATATCTGCAGAGGGAGTTGGAAGAAGAAAACATCAGAAAGATTTGCAAGAAACAATTTGATTGATGTTAGACATGATACTGTAACAGTCATTTCATGTTGAAATATGCTTTAAGTTCTGAAACTACCTCTCAGCCCTTTGAAATTACCAAATTACCTACCCAAGCTTTAAAGGCAAGCCACTTTCTGCTTTTTAATACAATTATGTTCACATATACACGTTAACATTAAGACCA